GGAGGGCACCAGCCCACCTTGGCAACCTTTGGCGCAGATCAATTCGATGAGAAGATGAAAAACCAAAAGCAAAATAGAGATGCTTACTTCGGTTATTTTTACTTTGCCCTCAACGTTGGATGTTTGTTCTCCAACACTGTATTAGTATACTTTGAGGATTCAGGGATGTGGACACTAGGTTTCTTGGTATCATTGGGTTCAGCTATTATTGCTTTTCTTTTATACTTGGCAGGATTTAAAAAATATAGATATGTGAAGGCATACGGGAATCCGGTGATAAGGGTAGTTCAGGTGTTTGTGTCTGCTTTTAAAAAGTGTAAGGTTCAAGCAGGCAATGAAGAGCAACTTTATGAGGTTGATGGTCCAGAATCTGCCATAAAAGGCAGTAGAAAGATTATGCACAGCAACGATTTCAGGTAACAGCAGAAATATGTGATCGAGTAAAACAATCGACTATTTTTATTGTATTCATTTCAGAACTTGGTTGTGTGGAATTGAAACTTACATCCTTGACTCATGTTCGTTGATGCTGAGCAGATTCATGGACAAGGCAGCAACGATAACGGAGAAAGATAGAAATGATCTGAAGAATCACTGGCGGCTTTGTACTATAACTCAAGTTGAAGAAGCCAAGTGTGTAATGAGAATGCTACCAGTTTGGCTATGTACTATAATTTATTCGGTTGTGTTTACACAAATGGCTTCTCTTTTTGTGGAGCAAGGGGATGTGATGAACAACAAGGTTGGAAAATTTCACTTGCCAGCAGCCACCATGTCAGTGTTTGATATCTGCAGTGTCCTTTTATGCACTGGACTTTACCGCTATATCTTAATTCCTCTGGTTGCAAAACTCTGTGGCTTTCCTAGGGGAATAACTGAACTTCAAAGAATGGGAGTTGGTCTAATTATAGGAATGCTGTCTATGGTTGCAGCTGGTGTGACAGAGTTTGCAAGGCTCAAGCAAGTTATACCTGGGGAAAAGGCTAGTTCTTTGAGTATACTCTGGCAAATCCCACAGTATGTTCTAGTTGGTGCTTCAGAAGTCTTCATGTATGTGGGTCAGTTGGAGTTTTTCAACGGGCAAGCCCCAGATGGCATAAAAAGCTTTGGGAGCTCACTTTGCATGGCATCAATTTCCCTTGGAAACTATGTGAGTAGCATGCTGGTGTACATGGTCATGGCAGTCACTGAAAGAGGTGAGAACCCAGGATGGATTCCCAATAACTTGAACGTGGGGCACATGGATAGGTTTTTCTTCCTCCTTGCAATACTAGCTGCTCTTGACTTTGTGCTGTATTTACTCTGTGCTCGCTGGTACAAGAACATCCAGATTGAAGAAGAAGGTGACAAGAAAAACCTAGAGGACCGGGAAAATATTAGAATAGTTTGATTAAGTTCTTCGTTTTCATTTTTTTTTTCTAGGCATTTGTTTATCTAGATAATTTTAATAAGGCTTTTCAAGGATGATCCTTAGAGTGACACAAAGCATGACCATCTCGATTTGGGAGAGAATTCACAAAATATAGGTGGAATGAGTGCTTTCTTGATAACATTACAGCTTTGGTTTGGAAAGTTGATATTTGGCATTTATATTTGAGCTACAATATGAACCACTGAAAATGTTTCATAGAATATAAATCAACATGGTAAGCATTCTTTGTTTCTATGTAATGGTTCTGAACTTTGAAGCCAGTCCAAATGTGAGAGAGGATCAAACTATAAATTCCCAAGTCATTTTTCAACTCCTCTTAACAGTGCATCATTCTTACACCATTCTTTATGGTGTGAAGAATGTCACATTCACAACTTGTCGAAAATTTGTATCACTCCACAACCGACACAAATCATGTGGTTATCCAGTCGGATATAACATAAAGAAGCTAATGAGATGCATTTACATTTTTTTCTAGATAAAAGCAAACCATGTTGAGGCATTTTCTTTTTGAAAGAGTCTGCCAAAGGCTTGTGTGTGTGTGTATGTGTGTGTATATATATATATATATATATATATATATATATATATATATATATATATATATATATATATATATATATATATATATATATATATATATATATGCAGCATAAATTTTCTAACAAGAAAACTGGACTGCATCCAAATTTGAACTCCAGAAAGGAGGAGACGAGTATATGTTTCTTGAATACTACAAATTCTCTCTAGAAACAGTGGCATGCAGTTGTTTTGCAGTGCATGCTGCCTCAGCAAGTCCGTGAAAAAGGGGGGCAACATCTTCTGCCATAGTCTTCAAAAGCGTTTTGCATTCTGTTAAAACAATTTACAATGTATTAAACAGCATACCATAAATTTGCACGCCAATGCAGTTGAATTTGTTATCTAACGAAAATCAACACAACAAAGAATTATTTCATGAGAAATTCGGAAAATGGACTAAAATGGACTAAACTTGCTTGATTTGAACTTGCCAGATGATTCTCAAACAATTAGTTATGCAAATACTTACTAATTTAACATTTATTATTACATCCCATGCCTAGTATCATCTCTTTTCCATCACATTTTAACATCTTAAACGTTACTGTCTTCAATAATTAAACAAAAAAAGGTGCAGAAAATGGCAAACCTGATATTTTACTGAAATTAAGCAAAGACAAAGAAGCCAGAGCCTTGAGGTCAAGTTCTCCATTTTCCAAGATTCCTTTCAACTGAGAGATGATGGATGAGAAGGTGGGAAGAGGAAATCCAGCACCAAATAGTGTAGATAGTGAAGAACTCAACCATGTCACAGTTATTAGACACGCCCTCACCAAATCTAGGTGCTTACAATCTAAACATCTCGATAAGTTCTTCAAAAATGGGCCTTCTCCATCACCAATCAATGACTCTAACAGCTTCTTTAGCAACTCTTCAACCCTTTTGTCTTCATCTTCCTATGATTTTCATTTCTTTTTATCAGCCAAGATACATTCAGTAATTCATTCAAGCTACAAAAAGTTCATCAACGCACTGAACTGGGGACTAACTAGTGTAAAGTGTAACATCTTGCATTTTCTATGTTCTTGAGTGTCAATAGAATTTTTTAGGGAAAATGACAAGGCATACTAATTGTGTACTAATTGGAAAATAACTATTTTACATTCTTCTCTAACTATGTGTATCATTAAGCAAATGCTAAGAGATTGAATCCGGTATACACAGGAATAAACAATGTTTTGTCTTACCAATGAAATGGTTACTTCTATGCCATCATGATTATAACCTGCTTGTTTTAAGGTGCTAGTCTTGGTTGGTATCTTTCCGGTAGAAGAAAAATGGCCACACAAGATTAAAAGTGCTCTGCAACACTTTTCTCGGGCCTTCTCATCTTTTAAGCTACTATCAAGTGCCTCTGCAATGGCATTCACAGCCACCTCTCTGTATGCGCTAAACTTTTGCGGCTCAACCTGCAATGCAAATTTTCTCTAGGCTATAAGTGTGCAAGGCAGAAGCTGATTTTCATTTATCACTTAATTTAAGAAAATATTATGTACAAAAGAGTTCAGAAGAGGGCTAAATATTGGAGGGAACTTTGAAGGCATTTGGTCTGTCAATACTGTACAGATAATTCCAGAGAAACAAAGGTTGATAGTGAAGCAAAATGCATGATTTAGGGTTAGGTTAGGATTGCACATTCCAAGTGATGGTAAGCACATTGTTCTATTACCAACATCTGACTTTATTTTCATCTTTCCTACAGAAGATCTAGAGATGTTCAAATGCAGCAGCATCCCTTAAATGCATCAAAACACAAGGATGAATTGGAAAGTTTCCAGACAAAAATGATACGTTACAAGTGATTATAGGTAATCATTTTATATGTAAATGCACAATTTACAGCATGTCATTATCAACTACAATTATATATGTCAAGATTTAGAGGCAGGAGGAGACTACATACTAAAACTGAAACTGTTCATTACTTTTCCTAATCTAATTTCTAAAATGAGTTCAACACATTGAAATAAGGGGAATTTTGACAAGTAGAGGGTGCACTTTAGAGGGTAAAGTTCATAGAGTTACAAACCTTTGATTGGAAATTCAGCTGTTAAGATTTAGTCATCGTGATAAAATGCACGTAAAATTTAAGAAAATAAATTTAAATCATTGATTTTTCAGTGGGGTACTGTTCATGTTAAACCAGCTGAGATCTTTTCTAATGATTATACAAGAAAATAGACATGAAAGGATTAAACTAGAAACACTGGGGTAACTTTTTCAACTTTACTTGAGCATACCAGCAGATCAAAGTGTAACAAAAGGACTGCAATTAGGGGCTTTTCAAATGGAGAAGAATTCTCGAGATACATGAGCAGAATATGCATTATATAAAATACTTTTTCACCCGCCAAGCCACTTATGAATGAAGTAACATCCTTTCTCCTACAAAAAAGTAACCGAGTAATTAAAATTTCAAGGATAGTATGTCCTTAAACATTTTTTCTGGAAATTTACAACATCTGGAATATGCAGATAAATAACCAGCCAAAATGATCCTATTAGTTGTCAAAACCATAATAGAATCCTTTTGTTAACTATTATTCTTATTCTTATTAAAGTGGTTTAAATTATTCATCCTAGTTTTCTTCAGTCTTTTGAACCACTTCTAGCATAAAATATTGCTTACCTTTAGCACAATTTTGTTCTAAGTTTGTCATCAGTTAACTTCTCAAGACAAATGATATTAGGTGTTATAAATCCAATTTTAGACCTTCGTTCAACAACTTAAACACCTTTAACGTATTCTCTCTTTTTTCAAATGAGGTTATATCCACTTCTCAAATAAACAAGTCCATAAGTTTTAACACTCAACGCTCATTTCCTCTTAGTTAATATCTCAACCAACTTTGGGCATTTAAGATTGCTGCAAACTATTTTTGCTGTAATTAAGATAAGTTTAGACAAAAGGAATGGAAGTTTTTATCACCGAAATGGTAGACAATTACATCAAAATATGTAATTGAATATACAAAATTGATAAGGTTCACCTCTTCATTGATAAAAGTTCAGTAAGGAATAGTATTGCATTTGTTGTTGGGGTAACCTCCTTGCTGTGAAGAAGCTCGAGAAGACACTTTCTGTTAACATTCCTTGCTATCTTATATATGCAACCAGAGTCTACTTGAATACAATTTAGCAAAAGTGACACCACTTGTGATTTTTCTTCCACATTTCCCTGTTCAAACCTTCTAAAAAGAAATGGAAGAAATCCTAAAGACATGAGATGCTTAACATAAGTTGATTTCTCCTCTTCTTTCAGAGAGGAGAAAAGACTCTCTAACTTGAAAACAGCAGCCTCGTCTCCTTCTTTCAACTTGAGATCCTCTGAATTCTCCACTCTTTTGGAAGCAAGACCAAGAAGGCAATCAAAACGATCTGACCGCCAATTATCAATCAAACGCTTCAAAATAAGGTTGGTAAATGGAATGGCCACGCATTCCAAGGCAATTCCTGTTACCGGGCATGTTCTATTTCCCTTTTCAAACCATGCTTTGATGGCCTCTCTTTCAAAGGTTTGACCTGTCTCTAGGGTGACCGGTTCCTCAAAGAGATTTCCAGTTAGAGAACAAATAAACTCCGGTGGAGTGCTTGGAAAATCTAATCCTGCACCAATATTTTCATGTACAATCCAATATTTAATAGAATATGCTATCTGAAGGAAGGTACATCAGTAAAACATGTGATTTTCTCACCTTGAAGAACATAACTTTTCTTATTTGGCTGCACGTGAAAGATTAAAAATTATAAAAGATCAGATGTATGAAGTCACAAACACTACATAGACAGTGAAACAGTAGTAAGACTGAAAGAATATGCTTCACATTTCTAAAACAAATGTTTCACCTTTTTAAGACCAAGTTCATTTGCTTTTTGGTATGGTAGGGCATCAACAGTGTGCTTGGTTAAATTAGTTTGCATAGAGAAAGAGTTACTAATTTCATCACTGACATTCCTTTTCCGCACTTCTTCTGCAGCTTCCATTGAATTTCCTTTGTGCTGTCACATGTCAATGATAATATAACGTAAGTGAGATGTAAAGCAAAAATAGAAACACGTATGTTAATGTCATTCAAAGCATAAAACAGTTTTTGTAAATTATATGAATCAAAATCTACAAAGTACGGTTTCAAACAAAAGGACCAATGATACAATTTCAGATTTTGCATATCAGATACTGAAGAGGACTCAATGTGGTAAAAGAGTAATCTACTACAGTGATACAGATCAAAGGATGAGATGAAAATAGGAGAGGGAGAACTACCTAAAAGAATTTATGGTAAAATTGTATTCAGTTAAGGGACAACAAATGAATCAACTGGTTAACCATGTTCAAAGAATAAATAATATACGGAAAACATAAATATCTTACAGGCTTGATTGTATCAATAGCTACACCTTGAGAGAAACCTTCAATATCTAGATCTGTAAATTTAACAGTTTCAGACTCATATGTTAATGTCTGTTCAACAAATGTTGAACCATAAGAGCCTTTCATGCAGTTGTCTTGGTTACCATCATCCTTAACATCTTTGACTTGGTAAACTCCTGGTCTTCTAAAGCTACCAAACATAGAATCATACAGTTTCTTGCTGACCATTGGCTGTGGTGAGAATGGGTCAATGGAGCTAGCAGACTCAAAAGAGTGACCAAGTGAACTTCCCTCTTGACTTCTTGAGACAGAAACTGATGGAATGCCAATTGAAGGAACTGTTGGAGATTCCACTCCTTCAGTAAGCCAATCTTTGTAATATACAGAAAATATATGAGTTCCAGAATCCAAATGCTCATTATACACCTCTTGAAGAAGTTTTAGTCTTCTTGTTTTGTTTGGTGTGTCTACTAGAACTCCTTCTTCCTTCTTGTACCATGCCTTCAAATGAGAAAGTTGTGGAGAAAATAGATGCTTCCACAGTTCAGGCAACAACATAGTCCGTGCCTGAAAGGGAGAATCACAAAACACTTGCAAGAGATGCTTTGCTGACACCTTATTTTTTTTCTGAATCATGTAGACCACACTGAGGTAAAGATGAGCACATGCTGACAACTTATAATTCGGAATCCCACACGTACAATCGTATTTCAAATCATTTAAACCCAAACCTGTGATAATACTAAGCTGCATCGTTGTTCTTTTCAGATACATGGCAGATACAGGTTCCTCCACGGATTGTTCAATGGCCTCAATTGCTTGCTCAAGACTTCTTATGACTTTGTTCTGAATAATTTTCTCTTCTTTCAATTCAAGAAAATTCAAGGAGGAGAAACATCTATGATGCAAAGTAGACCGAAAATCCTCATCCTTTGGAAAACGATTTATATACCCATTTAGAATGGAAACTACGGCTTGAACAGCTACTTCATCAAGAGCAAGACTAGAAGCTACTTGCACGGCAAGATTTCTACTTTTGTTCCTGCTGCTGTATTCAAAGCTCTTCTGGGGATTTATTTTCTTTCCAGTTTCGCTCAAATGTCTAAGCATGTGCATGCTGGAACTTCTGCTTTGCACCTTTGCATCCTTGGCAGGCTTTTCCGCCCATTTTTTGTCCTCCACGAGTTCATAGATATTCTTTTCTTTGCCTCCTTTTGCAGACACTTCTTTTGAATAAGTATCTTCAAATCTGCTAGCTTCTGGTTCCATCACCTCAGTGATTTCATCCCTTGGCATGTATTCTGACGATTTGGTATGAACTTCTTCACCTGAATCAGTATCTCGAGAAGAGTTCTTCTGGGCTTCAACCTCCAACCGTTCATCCATTTCTCCTCTGAAAATAACATTATCCCTTGATCTTCGGTTCTTTGCAGTATGAGTGTCGGTTTTCTGCTGCCCACTTGTAATCTGATATCTTGAAGCATCAGACTTTTGTCTCTGCGGTCGAATTCTTTCACTTGATACACAAAGTCTACCTTCCATAGAGTAAAGAGGTTCACTTGAAGCACCATAGTGGAAGGAAGATCTAGACCTTGGCACTCTTCTGATTCCTTTGAACCCGTCTTCTGCAAGAAGCTCTTCCAAAGATGAAGCCATTTATGTATGCCCTCTCCGCCACTATCAGAGGTAAGAATCAGAAACATTCAAAGTGAAGCGTACTTATCAACTAGAAAACCAGAAGGAACTGAAAAAGAATAATCAGAACAACCATCAAACATTTAAATATGCATGTAAAGCAATAACAGGTTACCTGAGTTTTCTCTCTTTCCAGTGATTTGCCTTCGTTGATTTTGGTTTTAAACAGCTTAAGAATCAGACTTTTTCAACAAGCATCACCAACTGAACGAATGAGCCTAACACCACTGGTTCTTGTCATATTAAAACCGGCTATGCATACAAAGTTCAAAAGAATAGACAAATATGAACGAATACAAACAAATTAAGGAGAATGACGGAGATGTTGACTGGTGAAAGGCCATGAATATGAAACATATATATACATGGACATTAAGAGTTCAAACAAGTTGATTTATTAAAAACAACGTAAGAAAGAACAACATTTGGCAACACGAGTCCAGTGGACAAGTGAAAGGCGACAAATGAGAGAATGAGAAGAGTTTTGAGTATCTGACATTTGAATGTTTCAATTCAAGAACGGTAGACATTGTCTTTCCTTTTACCAATGCTGGCCTTTTTCTTGCCTTGGAATCCCATCATCATATTCTATCATAATATTAACAAATAACTTGAGAACAATCTCCAATTGGACTGCTACATTTTTCCGGTCCCACCAAACTGCTTTTATCTTTCCAATGGGAAACATCAGTCTCACAAGAAACATGATACACCAACAAAGTACGGCTCAGTCGTCTCCCAACAATTGTCTTCTACTATCTAAAGACAAAATCCTTAGTGTTCATGAAAAGAGGAAAATCATTGTGTTAACAAAGTATTTCAAATACACACCATATAGGAAATAATCTTTCTGAAATGATTATATTTTAGTATGTTTTGGTTCTGGCATGAGCTTCTCTAAGTTCACTGGACAAGAGACTTATTCCAGCTGCAATAATGTGACGGTCGTAGCTTACTTGAAAAATGTCTATACTTTGTTTTTTTGTAATGGTTTAAATTATATTGGCATCTTGTATTTTGTAATTTTATGAAATCTTAGTGTAACTTAATTTTTTAAATATTTGTCTCTCTTTTCATTGGATAAAATAACCTTTTAATCGCTGGTATATTTTCATTTTATATAGACAAATAAGGGTATTTTTTTTATATGCATATGTATACTTAAATATTAAAAGAAAAGGTTTATATGCATAAATCTTGAAATTGAGCATGGCTATATATGTTACAGAATTTTTTTACTGAAAGTAATTTCAACTCTTCCTTTATTATATCATACTCGAATGCTAAATTAATCAGAGGAATAAGAATCACGCATTCTCTTACCAATTTATTTTAACATAATTTACCGATTAAAATACATTATAAAGTTTTATTTACGATTTTGTAATTTTAAAATGGCAACAAATCCCCGAAATCTGTGGTCTTCAGTGTGAAACATGAAAGTGAAATTGATGTCAAGTACATTAACAAGAATGCATTTAGTTTATGTTTTTACATTGGATCCAAATAATGAGTAATCCGTTACTCTTAATTTAGTTGCTAAGGGACAAAAGGATGAGTTAAGGGGTGAAGGTTAGTTTTAATGATTTTTAAAAAGCCTACAAAATTACTCTTCTTGTCGATAACGGAGGTTAAGATTTGCAAAGAAGCAGAACACTTGTTCTTCGATTTCTCAGGTTGACACTTTCAACGCGTCAGGAAGGATTCAAAGACAACGGAATTAACCATTTTCATCACTTGAACATACATATCCCACTTCTATAGTATTTTCAATTACAAAATGCTGATGATTAAACTAACGCATATTGTACAGAAGAATTGAAATTAATAAATCATATCTCCTCTCCTATTCCTTCTCCTTCTCGTTATCACACAAGGAAGTTCGATCGATGTTTTCGATTTTGTAGGTGAAAGACTTGATAACTTGAATAATTGATCACGATAATTTAACGTTGTAATGAAAGCGAAGAGAATCTGTATGATTCATAGTTACAACTAATTACAATTGATACAGAATATCATGGTGCAGATAGTAGCGCGACCAAGAAGTTGGGGCTCCGAATATTAGAGAACTATTCCTTGTTGCGAGAAGAGCGCTCCTTTCTTTGCCCACCAAGAATACGAGAAATTTGCAAACCTCTGCTGAATGCTTGGTTGAACAGCATACGGGTTTGAAATTCTGAAACAAAAGGAAACCAAGCCAGAAAAGCAACAGGAGTGAACAAAAGCAAACCCATCACAATCTCATAACCTCGAGCAAGAGTTTTCACTGATCCCCAAAACCCAGCCCGCCGTACTAAAGGTTTTAACGCTTGAGCAATCTGCAAAATAAAACAACAGCCACAGAAAAATAAAAACCACAAACAAGTTGAAGGCAACATATATAATGCAACTGAAGCATACACCAAAATTTCCTTAATTCTTCATCTATCACTTTCAAAATCGAATTTCAACGAGTTCATGTAAAAAAATTATACATTAGGCCCACGTTCAGAAAGTTTCCAAATATAGATAATGTGATCCGGGATGTGAGGGTCTTAAACCCCTCCTGGTAGGGCTGGTAGTTCCACAGGAATTTTCATTTAGTAGGTTAGCAGTGGAAAGAGAAATCACCTGCAGCATTCCCCAACCAGTTGGCATGAAAGCAAGAATGCAAACAACAATGTCCTGCATTGTCATATGCGGAAGGGCAATCAAAATGACTAGAATCGAGACAAAAGTGAGGAATATCAGTCCCTTGATTAGTCGGAAGACGAGTTGAAAATTTGCACTGAATTTACGCCTCCCAACAGACACCGTCTGCGACGACAAGAAAAATAGAATACCAAAATGTGTCAGACCATAGAAATTGCATTTTCTTTTCAGGAAAAAGAGAACAAGGGCATTAGTAAGATTCAATATTGTTTGTCAATTTAATGAGCAAAGGCTCCGGTTAGACAACAGAATGTAAGCATAGAAATACATTAAACATGCCCATACAAGATACTCCCATAGCTTGTTACTAACCTTCATTACAAACAATATTACAAATATCACCAACCACGAAATGCCATAGACCTGTATGCCAAGGAAAGGTATCGGTAACTCCAAAAGCTTACCAAATTATAATTACTGAGATAAAAATGCAGGAAAAGATAACAGCGTAGGTTAAGAATTACCAGAAAACTTTTTTGGCCTTTCTTCGTAATATTCAAGTGATATACCAGACCATACTGGTAGATAAAAAATCGCAATGATAACAGTATCTCTACTATGATTCCCCGAATTCCTGAATATTGGAGATGCTCCTGTTCCTCTTCCCACCAAGATTCCCAACTTTTTTCAGGTAGAACACCTATACCTCCTCGATTACTAATCCATTTATTCCAATCAGTCCAATCATCGACAATCTTTTGCCATTCAAACCCAGAAGGATTGAACAAGAAAGGAGCAAACAGCCAGGTACCCACCATAAACCACATTGATGCAGTAATCAAGATATATGCAACAGCACTTCTGTAAGAATGACCAAAAATTTGATACACAATAAGCAGTACCATGAGCTCAATACCCTTGACGAAGTGGCTACGAGAGTAAAGTCTGTAGTTGTCAGCAAATTTAGCATGGAAAACCACAAATCCTCGACCAGTTGGTCTATATTTAGCACCTCCATGCAGCAATGTTCTTCCAAAATAATGAGTTTTTGTCCCAAGAGAAAATGTAAAGAATACTGGGGCCAGCTGCAGTTGCATTAATATGAACTCGCTGAGAGCAGTTCGGAAGCCCCTCTCCAAACCGATTTCCATCAACATGGGCAGGGCCATCAAAACCCCAATCTGAACAAATGACTGAGAAGCAAGAGCCACTTGAAGAGGCTTATTGTCTCGAATGGCTTTTTGAGTGCTTAGACCTTCTTCAAGCCCGCTAAGAACAAGATAAAGGCGACCATAGAGGAATATATACACAGTGAGAACAGTTATCTGCATAAAAATGAAGAGGGGAAAATTTTCAAAATTCCATGGCATAAAAACTTCAAAAATTTGACCATTTAGCTCATTTAATAAAAAATGTACCCCTCCTCCCCAAGCCTAAATCAGGGGGCACAAGTTGGGTAGACAGTTCAACCCCCCCAATTGCAAGTTGAAACAATAATAATAATTTTTAAGTCTAACGTGAGATTTACACTCACTTATATACTAAATTTGGTCATATTTTAGTTGGTATAGAATCTCCAATACCCTCTCCCACACAGAAGACATCTTAAGTGAACTTTAAATCAAACTCATCTTTACATACTAGTCAATGTGGGATTTTCAACAATAATAATAATCAACATAATATGCAAGTGAAAGGTAATTTGGTGTTGACGTACAAGGGTGCTGAAATAAAATCCAACTGTGGTGAAGTAACAAGACAACATTCTGAAGAAGTCAAAACGGTGCCCAAGTCTATATACATCTCGACTTAGTGTTTGCTCGCCATTGCCATTAGCTATTTTTGCTTCAAACATAGAAATCTGATTGAGACCCACATCTCTTCCCTTCCCTACTTGTATGTACTCATGGTGAGTGACATTTCCTTCACGTAGTGTAGAGTTGAAGCCTAATAGTAACAGAAAAAGTCCAATAAAAAAAAGCATTCAATCAAACAAAAGTAAACAATGAGCAATTGGAAGACACAATACCAGCAAAAATATCTTCACTTAGATTGATAACCTTGGAGGCTTTACTCACACCCCCTCTTGTGAGGTGAAAAAGTCTATCAAAGACATCAGGGTGACCATAATGGAAACGAACCCTACATAAGTAGAGAGAAAATCAGTTTAGACACTTCTATTTATTTTTAAGTACTCCCAAGAGAGTAATAGCTTAACTTCCTGCATAAATCCAATATATTAATTAGTAGACCAAAAGCAGTCAAGAGCAATGCCTTAAACCAAAATGAGAGTGATTTGTTACTCTCCACCCTATTGACAAAGAACA